GGGGGGGGGGGGACAAAGCTGGTGGGTTGACTAGTCCTGACTTTTGGGCCAAACTGGTAAAGGACAGTACTCCCGCAGTCTCTGTATGCATTTAATTTTTTCCCCTCTAAATATAACATTGAATCAGAATTTCGGGGCAGAAATTATTTACACACACACACACACAAGACATTATTATGTGTAGCCAGGTTAGAGAAACGCAGAGGATGACTGGTACAGTCAAATTGATACAGTCATGCTTATTAGTAACCACAAAGAAACAGTTGTCTGTCTTCATTGATGGACAGATGAGTGCTTAGAGCACTCTCAAAGTATCAGAATCCTTGTATCAGCAATTAAACGATCTTTATTAGAAAATAAATAATTTAAGGCCTAGCCGGGTGGCTTAGTTGTTTGGAGCAGCGGCCCATGCACCAAAAAGGTTGGAGGTTCAATTCCAGCTCGGGGGACATACCTAGGTTGCAGGTTCGATCACCAGTCGGTAACATACAGGAAGCAACCAGTCAGTGTTTCTCTCACATCATGTTGGGGCCAGTCTATGTTGCAAAACAGGCCTGAAGGACTTAGGTCAAATTTCACCCAAAAGGGGTGTCTTGAAGCACTAGACTGGTTCCCCACCTACAGAGAGACAGATAAGTTCCCAGCCAAGAGTTAGAGGCGTTCCTGCTAGTCTGGGCTGTTTGTGGCCGTCCTGCAGACACCCCGGTCCTGCAGACACCCCGGTAGGGCCCCAACAAATATGGCCCGTTCAAGCGAGGTGTCCCTCTTCTGATGACCTCCGGCCTTACCGGGATGCCCTCTATCAGTTCTGTCCGTATAAGGGGTGCCTAGTTCCTCTGTCACCTCACGTGGAGAACCCTCGTGCTACAACCCTGGTCTCCAGTAATCAGACTAGTGACCTGTTCCCTGCCTTTCGTGTTCCCAAAAGCACTGGTCTTTTCAGAGGCCTAGGAGAGAGCAGCAGCCACCCCTCCAAGGGAAGGGAGAGTCCCTGTTAAGTTAACCCTGAGGCTCCCACAGAAGTTGGTTTCAGGGACCAGAGAAGATTCCTGGTGACCTGTGTGTGTGAGCCGGCTGGCCAGACGGAGACCGCACCTCGGGCCCCGAGGGCAAATCCTGTCCCCTTCTTTAGGAAGATTAGAAACTGCCGGGGTCCCTTATTTTGGAAGCAGAAAGAGTTTAAGCTCATTTATCCAGCAAAAGGTCCTGTTCAGATCCTCAGAAAACAATTCTAGTTGAAAAGCCAGTTAAAACGCAGCCATCCATTTTTTTTTTTTCTGTCCTGTCCTCAGTTATGTCCATTCTCATCTATAGCCTAGAGTTTCCCAACCCTTAACCCTTAGCTCCACCTTGAGGATTTCAAAAGCTCAAAGAAAGTCAGCCTGGATTTCACTCCAGACGCAGAGGAAGGAAGGGAAAGGGAGGGACAGGACATCCTTCCAGCCAAAGGGCGAGGGTCTCTCCCTCCCCCCATTGGAACTAGTAACCTGGCAGGGAGGAGCCGTGGGGAAGGGCCTCTCGTGACTGCAGCGTTCCTGGGTGCAGGACCGCGTCTTGCAGTTGGTGGAGTGCCCAGTGCAAACTTCCCCTTCCATGACCCCATCCTGTCACAGGGGCCGGCGCCCTGATGGCTTTTAAATGCCCAACCCATGCCCACAGTGCAGCAATCCGCAGAGAGAGAAAACCCAGGGCCGGAGGGGAGAGAGCATAGTCATGGCCTCAAAGCCAAGGTGGTGAGGAGGCTGGCTCACGACTGATGAACAGCCCGAGCTGCGGCTTCATTATGCACCGGGTGTGAGCCCGTGGGGTCAGACGGGACTTGGATTCAGCAGCCTCAGCCCTTGTGTTCTGGCTGGGAAAGAATTCAGAGCCAAGGCCCGAACTCTAAGAGAACATTTATTTCATTAATCAAATAGGTAGAAAAGTAATTCCTAGAAGAAATGGGCTCAGGAAACAAGTTATAGAGGCAAAGGAAGGGCCCTGGGGGCTTGGCAGTGAGGAAAGTAATGGTAACTCGGGGAGGAGAGGGGATGGGGGAAGGGAAAGCAGAATGTGTGGGCCTGTTCCCAGGAGGGAGAGCCCTGGGTTCTAGTCCTTAGGGTTTTAAGGGAGAAGATTTTAGGGACGGTCCCAGATCTCAATAGACTATTCAGCAGCTCTCCAGGTGTGTCCTTTCAGGGCCGGGGTCTCCACCGATTGATTTGTCGGCGCCAGGGCAAGGGGGTCATTGTCCAATGCAGCTGGTCCTGAGGTCAGCTGTGGCTGGTTTTGTAGCTCCCCTGGGCCTGGAGCTGAAGTACACCTGAGGCCTCGATGTTATCTCTAGGGGAGGAAAGGCCATCCTGGAGGCCAGGTCCCACCCTGCAGTTGTCTGTTGCTAGGCACCCAGGGCTTTCCACCTGGCGACCTTCTGTACCTGGCCCATCTTCCTTGCTCTGCATGTCTAACTGCCTCCCACAGTTTTGCTGGGGGAAATTACTTTTGATTATTCAAGCCGATGATGCCACGGACGACCCCCAACTCCACTTAATGCCAAGATTTCCATCGGCCCCAATGAACTTTTCTTTAGAGATGCTCTCAAAGCACAAACAAGACCAGGTGAGCGCCGGGGCCTTTCATGTCCCCTGCCCACTCTGTGAGACGGGCGTTAATGAGCAGCGGGCCAGCCGCAGAAGCGGGCAGGGGGCAGTGCAAAGTCAGAGACCCCGAGAAATTCAGGATCTGGGTAAACACATGCTGAGAACGTGAGGCGTCGCTGGCGGGGAGAGGGGTGCCGTGCCTTCTCCTGTGTCAGGAAGAGGCTGCCGGCCCGAAGCCCAGGGTTGGCGCCGCGTTTTCGTTTGAGCTGTGCGGTTTACCTCCCTCGCTCTTTACTTGCAGCTGCGAGTACACAGAAGCATCGACAGGGTGAGGCTTGTGTATACGCAGGGCGCACCTCGCGGGTTCCTGGAAGGAAGGAAAGGAAAGTGGCAGGAAGCGTTCAGTGGGGTAGATTACTTTGGATAATTGAGGCTGATTTGGGGGTGATCTGTGGCGTCATTTCCGTGATATCTGTGTTTCCCGTCACTGACGTTGGCTGCATTATGGGGGAAGTAGAACGGTGGGGAGCCCCAGGCTGGTGATCGGGGAACTGAGTTTTGCTTCTTAACTGTTCACGGGCTGGTCCTCCAGTGTTGATTTTGGGCAGATGTGATGCTGGGCTGGGCTGGGGGATGTCCCGGGCCTCTGACAGCTCCGTGTCCTGTGGTCCCGCCCCTCCCCAAGGTCATGAAACGAGTGCGCACCGAGCAGATTCAGATGGCAGTGTCCTGCTACCTCAAACGCCGTCAATACGTGGACTCGGACGGTCCCCTGAAGCAAGGACTGCGGCTGTCCCAGACGGCTGAGGAGATGGCAGCCCACCTCACAGGTAGGCGGGGGCTGCCCCGGGGGCTGGGGCAGGGGCAGGAGGGCGCGTGCCCATGGGCCAGTCCTTCTGGAGGCGACCCCGGAGAGAGCAGGCTGTCCAGCGGCCTGGGGGCAGCACCGAGGGAGTGCTGGCCTCCAGACCCTGCTCGGGCGCCACTTCTAAGAACCTCCTGGTGTGACCGATCCCTCCTCAGAGCGCTGACTGGTTTTACCTGTGCCTGACGCCAGGTGCAGTTCTCCCTTCCATGCGCTCTTACCCTACAAGACTGACGGGGCCAGGGTCTCTGTCCCCCTGTACACGACCCCCTCCTGGAGCCCGGAGCCTCGCCCGTGGAAGGCAGGTTTGCTCGGCGAACGACTACTTTGGGATCGGTGGTTGGAAATATTGGCAACGTACATATGTCCCTGAGATTTTAAAACGTTTTTAGGTCAAAATTGGGTTTTTTGTTTGTTTTTTGAAAAATTTTGTCATGAATTCATCTGGAGTAACAAATAATTGTCACCTCGCTATTTCGTGTGTTCAGCTGTTTATGTGGATGTCATTTGTTTATATTGAATTTGTGCACTGGCGATTTTGGAAAAAGAATTCACTGCAGGGTCGCCAGGGTGGCGATGAACTTCCTTAGCGAGCGCGGAGCCCGCGTTCGGCGTGCTTCCTCCGGCTCAGCCCCGGTTCCTCTTCCCTGCTCACGCGGGCCCTTCTCTCTCCGCCTGTACTTCCTTCTTCTGGAAGAATCTCGTCACCTGCTCCACCGCCTCGTGGTTTCAGCTTTTGCACTCGCAGCAAAAGCTACCTTAGCTACGTCTTGTTACCCTGAAAGCCGAGGACCTAGACTGTGCTCTAAGGGCGCATTGCGGTGGCTGCAGGAAGGAGTGGGGGGACTGCGGAGGCCTGAGGGTGCCCTCAAAGGGGCAAGTGGCTCCTGGCCCTCGAGGCCGTGGAGGGAGCTCAGTCCGGCGGCTGCCTCCTTCTGCAGCGAAGCCACCGTGTTCTTCTTTCCTTCAGACTCCGCCTTGGCAAGAACAGGGCCAGCGGATGGACTTGGCATAGATTCACAAGTGCCTTGTGGTTTCAAGTAGGACAGCCCGGGTAATTCCTTCTCCACTTGCCGTCGCGGCCTGTCACGTGCATTGATGATCTCCCACCGCCCTGTGTCCACCGGAACCTGGGGCGGGAATTCTGTGCTGCTGTTGGTGGGAATTCGGAGCCAGCGCTGCCGAGCAGCCTTCCAGAGCCTCCCGCGCCTGCGTGTCTTAGTTAGATGTGTAGCTCATTGGGAGAGCCGCTGTTGCTCCTGGAAAACCACCGGGAAGCGGTGAGAAACACGAAATGTATCGTAAGACTCGTCCGAGGTTTTCCTGCTAACCCAGTAATCGGAATATGTCTGTCTGCATTCAGCAGATAATTATTGAACATCTGCCGGAGGCCAGGCTGAACAGTTCTAGAGAGAGCTAGGATTTGATCACAGCTCCCGAGGAGCTTACCGTGTCGTCGGGAAGCGAGACACACCTCGGCCACTACAGGAGGGTGTGGGGTAGTAAGTCCTGTGCGGGGCGGGTGCCCCAGGTTCTGTAGGAGCAGAGAAGATGCTGGTCTAAATTAGCCTGGCAGGTCAGGGGAGGCTGCCCAGAAGGTCTCGTGGTTCCTGGCGTATAGTCAGGGTCAGGAGATGGTCAAAGGAGCCGTGAGCTGTTGACCAGGGCGGTTGAAGGAGGGTCTCCCAGGAATCTGGCGCGAATGGTAGAAAGGCCCCTCTGGCAGCTGTGCGGCCGGGAAAGGCCCGGGCCGAAGCGGGGGCTATGGAAAGGGCACAGCGCCGCCCAGTGGGGGCGGGGCCAGCCTGCGGTGAGGAGGTGCTGATGGCAGTGGGGAGGAGCCAGAGGACTCGGTGGAGGGCGAGGGAGGCCCTCCCTTCTTCGTGCACAGCCTCCCGGCACAGGCTTCTGCGTCTCTATCTCCCTGGCTTCGGGCAGAGCACACGGGCTTCTCCGCATCTGGGTCCCCTTCGGGCTTCTCCGCATCTGGCTCCCCTTGGTGTCACGGCTTCCTCGGGCCTCTGCGTTACTTTCCGTTCCCGCGTCCGTGTTCCATCTTCTGAAATGGGTCCGTGTTTCGTCCAGACTGTCATTGAAGATGCTTTCCTCGGCCCCAGTGCCCCCTCCCCCTGCACAAGGGGTCAGGGAATTTTGTTTTTCTTTTTAGAAAGCATAAACTCACAGAATGGAGATTAAGTGCCTGTGTATATAGTGAATATTGAGACTCCAGCCTTCTCGCCCCCATTCCTCTGCCCAGAACAGCAGCAGCCGGGCACACGTCCTGCAGGAAGGCGAGTGGAAGAGTCTTCCTTGGTGGACTGACCTGCCCGAGAAAGGGACCTGAGCGTTGACTTCGGGGAACGCTCACCCCGGTCGTCCCGGGCGATGGGCGCATGCACGGAGTGACCTCCCGTGGTGCCTGCTCTCAGCTGTGCGCCCACGGCCAGGGACTGTCAGGCCGTGGAAGACGCTGATCTACCCACTGAAAAATACAGAGGGGAAGAGTCAGTGAATCGCAGCTCGAGGGAAGCAGACAGAGCAGAAAGACAAATGGAAATGGGAGAGGATACTAAAGGATCAGTGCAGGAAAGTGAACCTTGAAATAGCAGCAGTGCCAGGAAGAGAAAACGGGAATCCACAAAATGATTCAAGAAAGTTTTTCAGAATTGAAAGACATGAATTTGCAGATCGAAAGGGCCCGCTGAATGCCCAGCAGGTGGTGGAAAGCAGACCCCCACCAGGCCCGTTACTGTCAGCCGTCAGAACACGGGGCCAGATGCTTCCCGATAAGTCTCTTGAGCTTACAGACCTCCCCTCGTTCATCTACTTTATTCCTGTGACTTACGCCTTTTTCCTCTCGTGCTCCCATTTATTGGGTATCAGGAGGAGAGGAGGGAGATGTGTCATCAGTCGGGCGTATCGAACCGGGAGCCCAGCATGCTTTGGAAATCTACTGACGTGCCCGTCGCTATTGACGCAGACTCATCACCCCCTCCCACCCGTCCTGCCACTCGCTGGGTTAATAACTCTCTCACCCGCCCCGTCTGTGTGTCTTTCCCTCCTCAGTCCAGTCGGAATCTGGCTGTGCCAACATCGTGTCTGCAGCCCCGTGCCAGGCGGAGCCCCAGCAATATGAAGTACAGTTTGGACGCCTGCGGAACTTCCTCACCGGTGAGTGCTCAGCACTGGGGGCCTCTTCTCACGGAGGGTCCCCCAGAACCGGGAACGGCCCAGGTGGAGAGTCAGAGGTAGCTGAACACGGCTCTTGCCTCAAACTCAGGGCCTGTTGGAATTTCTGCAAGTTCAGTGGCAAGGTTAAAATCTCTGAGGGCGAGGGCCCTGGGTGTGCTGCGCAGTTTTATCGACGGCCTTCACAGGGACCGCGACGCTAAGTCAGCCACGTGGAGAAACATGTTTAAACGCACGTGTTTGAAATGCACATTGGATGTCACTAATAATAATATAGTACCTGTCGAAAGGGCCTTAGAAATTGTAATTGAGATCAATTCGTGGGTGGTGTAATGACCCCTGAAACACAAAATCAGTAGTAGATCACTGTGTGACTTTTTAAATTAATCACTTTTTTAAAATGGAGTCACTTGGCCTCTCTGGGGCCTCTGCTTCCTCGTATATGAATTTAAAAAAGCATTTCAAAGGGGAAACCGACGGCCCTCACCCAGTCCTAAGATGACTGGTAATAATTTTAACCTTGGAAAGATCGTTGCAGTAAGAGAGGCCGTGTTGATTCTAGTTATTTTGTTGAGGACTTTCTTTATATAAAACAACTGGAGGTGTAAGAAACAAACCACTCTCTGCCCTCAAAGGATTGAGAGGAATGAGCATGTATTGGTTAGTGGGGAATTATGGTTTAAATACTCTGGAGCTGTTTTATTTTTCTTCCCTTATTTTGAATAGTCCTTGAATTAATAATTATTAATGGTAAAGATGCATAGGTGTCAACATGTAAACCAGAATAATATATCTAGTTTTACACACACTTAGAGTTGTCCTAATTTTACTTGACCCTCAGAATGGTTAGTTTTTTAAAGGAAAGAACCCCCATTTCCAGTATTCTGTGGTTGGGGAAATGGCCAAAATGTTACAGAAATTAAAGGTAACAATAAAACCCTAGAGAGGGTTATCTTATCGGTCTCACAGTTGTTGAGCGATGAAATTCATAAGTAGAGACTAATCTGCTAAATAGTTTCAAAAATGAAAAAAAAAAGGTATTAAAGGTTTAATAAAGAGAGTTTATTATGTTTAACTGGAAAGAAGGAAATTCCATTAAGATCCTCATGTCATATGAATGTTAAATATCTCAGAACAGTGATCAGCCGCTTCCCATCTCCACTCAGGATAAAAAAAGAAACATTGAATTTATAAGAAGGATTTCATTCTGAGGTAAGCAAGCACTTGGAGACAGCGAGTTATTTTCATCATTGATGTTGGTTGTTAAGGCTTTAAGCAGTTTTAAAATTTTTAAGTCAGTTCTTAGAGAGCTAACTTCCTTGGTTTTTAAGAAATGTGATTGCTGCGTCTCCGTGGTAGATGTGCACCCCCCTCGGGTGGTGGGAAGCTGGCGTGGAAGGTGACAGGCCCGGCCCATCGCCTCTGTCTCATCCGCCCGGCCTGTGTCCATGCCAAGCGCCGACTCCATGCCAGGCTAGGTATTGCAGTGCCATATATTGATCACTAATGCGATTTATCCTGACGCAGTTTTCTGTTCATATTTCCCTCCTTTGGGCTCTTGGTGTTTTTCTTAAATATTTGCCAGAGCTCTTAAGGTAAAATAGCCGTCCGCCCCTTGTACCTGATGATGCGTTTTTTCCTAATACGAGCCACCCTCTCTATTCCTGCCTCTTAGCTTCCCTTGCTCAGAACTTTAGATTTCAGTGCATTGTAATCTGTCAGCCTTTTCCTTTGCACTTCCATGTCTTGTTTCAAAACTGAGAAATTTGTCTGTTACGTTCTGTATAATTTAACTCTTTAACCCATTGGCCACAGATTACTTGGGAGGGGTGACGATACGTTTTCCCTACAGGCTGCTTTTCCTGGGACATTCCTCTCTACCCTCGGTCTCCGGAGAGCAGTCAGCCAAACCAAATGAACAAGTACCTCCTGAGTGTAGCGTGTAGTCTTTCATCTAAACTGGAAGCTAATCCTAACATAAGCGGTCTACAAGTAAAAGTTTTTAAATAAAGTTTAAGTTTGACCCTGGAAGTGTGTTTCACAGGCCAGTGTGGACTCAGCTGCTGAATGTTGTAGAGGGAGGAACTGCCTGCATTCGGGGTGAGGAGACAGTGGAGGTGGAGGCGGTCGGGGAAGGCCTTGCTGAGTGCAGGGCGGACTTGCGTTAGCACTTGGGAGGTGGGTTGCATTTTGGAAAACTGGAAGAGGAGGGGCGGGAGGACTTGGTACCTGGCAGGATGTGGGCAAAGGTGAATGGTGGCAGAGGTGGCGTTCTTTGCACAGGACAGTGGGGGAACCCGCTTCGTTGAGTGGGGCTTCCAGAGTGGAGATAGAGGCAGACACCCTGGAGTCCGAGCTGTATCCCGTGTGATGGAGACGACCGTTGACATGACTGTTAGTCCGAAAGCAGTTTGTAAAAGGGTTGGTAAGAGGGGTGACCGGGAAGCCAGCCTAGAGTCCACCACAGTACTTGAGAAGTGAGGTGTCGGAATGGGAAGCAGGGCCTTGGTTTCATATCTAAACTAACCAAGGTGGAATCTGCACGCTCAGGAGTAACGGAGGAATAGCTGGGAATGTCTCAGGCTCTGGTGAGGGGGTGGAAGTGTATGAACAGAAGTCAGACGTGAGGATGTAACGGGTCTGGCTCGGAGGAGGTGGGCACACGCTCTGTTAATTCTTCAACGTGGGAAGGCGATAAAGGGTCAGGCCAGGTGCTGTGGTGGGTGTTTCAGAGCGAAGGCCCAGGATGTCATCGTCAGTGGATCCAACCCTGCGGAGGAGCGAAGGAGAGTGAGGGCTGACAAGCCCAGTTTTTGTTTAATAAGTGTCCTTTTCTGCAAACTCCATGAAAAAAACCATTTTTTTCATGTTTCCCACCAGCAGAGTGGAGCGCCAGGCAGACATTCGTTACATAGTGGGTGGGTGGAAGGAAGGAAGGAAGGAAGGAAGGAAGGAAGGAAGGAAGGAAGGAAGGAAACACACTTTTCAGAGGCTGTTACTTTGTAATTGGAAAAATGTATTTTAAGCAAGTACGCATTCGGTAAAACGTGCCGTGTATATAATGACTGCAAGGGAACGAGTTCAAACGAGAGTGAAGACTCACGTGAGCTTCACCTTGTTCCACATACAGAACATGTTGATTGAAATTTATTTTAAGCCCAACGTGCTGTTCTCTTCAGACAAGAGAAAAAGTGGCAGTTTTGAAACTATGAACTGAAACGAGTGAATTTCAGTAAGTTTTAAAGCAGCAAGCGCATCCCTGTTCTTGATGGCTAGATTTTTTCCTAAACTTACAAATTAAAATCCCTCTCATTTGGGAAAAGCCTGAAACTAAGATTTTAAGGAATTGAAAACAATCCTTCATCCCAGTAGACTACGTAGGAAGTCTGATCACTAAGAGTGGAACCTTTTTTTTTTTTTAATTAGTATTTTGGGAAAGAAATTTTTCAGAGGTCTTCTAAAAAATTATAGTATATAAGTCAATACCAAATCCGTATTAGTCAGTGTTCCCCAGAGAAATATAATCAATAGGGTGTATATATAGATTTATTTTAAGGAATTGGCTCGTGGATTGTGCAGGCTAACAGGTCCAAAATCTGCTGGGCTGGCCAGCAGGCTGGGGACCCAGGGAGGAGTTGCAGTTCCAATCCCAGGGCAGTGGGTGGGAGGGGACGGCAGAATTCCCTCTTCTAAGAAGGTCAGTCTTTCGTTCCCTTAAGGCCTTCAACCGATTAGATGAGGCTCACCTTCGTTATGATTGGGGATAATCTGCTTTACTCAAAGACTGCTCATTTAAATGTTAATCTCATCTAAAAAATACCTTCGCAGAAACCCTAGAACAATGTGTGACCCAGTATCTGGGCACTGTCCCCCAGCCAAGTTGACACGTGAAATAAACCGTCACAAGGCCCAGCCTCTGTCACCTTGGCACCGTATCCATCTCCTTCCTAAACCACACTTAATCTTCAAGTAAAGACGATTCACAAGGTTATAATTTCGCCTAACAAGATACAGCCCTGGGCACAACTGAAAACGTACAAATCCCGTCCCCAGAAGAAGAAGCAGAGTCCTTGGGTGGTGCTTGCTCTTGTGACCTCCCCTTACTTCAGTAGTATGGTGTAAAGTTAAGGATACTTATATACTGTAACAAAGTCATTATAACTTAGGTTACATGGTAAGGGAGTGGGGGGGACACAGGTGTTTGCATAGACACACAAATAATTTCATTCTTAGCAGAATAAGGGGGAAGATTCCTGACAATTACAGTCCTCATTCCTGTAACTGGTCACGTGGTCTAGCTGGTATTTATTTATTTAAATATATCTTTATTGATTTCAGAGAGAAAGGGAGAGAGAGAAACATCAATGATGAGAGTCACTGATCGGCTGCCTCCTGCACGCCCCCTGCTGGGGATCGAGCCCACAGCCCGGGCATGTGCCCTGACCGGGAATCGAACCTCCATCACCTGGATCCCAGGTCGATGCTCAGCTGCTGGGCCACGCCCGGCCGGGCTCTAGCTGGTATTGATAACTACCTTCCATGTTCCCTCTGCCTTCAGCAGGCGCCTCAGCCAGTCCTGGTTATTTACCTGGCAGGTGACCCCACCTTCCTTCCTGAGGGGTCTGGGCCATAACTAGTCCTGCCTGAGCTGGGTTGTTGTAGTTTCCAGTGACCTTCACCACAGGGCACGTTAATGCCAAGAGGCACCCTACGGGATCTCCTGTACCCCGGACACACGCTCCCTTGCCTGTGTTGGGGGAGAGCGGTCCAGTTTCCCCCTGGAAGTAGGATCAGTCCCCCAGCCAGCACAGTAACCTGTTGATTCAGATGCACAAGGAGCCCAAAGTGGCCGGGTCACAGTCTTAATTAGCTTTCAGTTCATCTAAATATGTATTTAAGTAGGGACACTTTTATTCTGAAATGCATATGTTATACAATTAATTCCAGCAATAAAGTGAAATGGAGTATTGAGCAGAGATGGCATGCTGGTGTCATTTATCATCTGAGTGGGGAGGCAGGATTCCTAATGCACGTGGTTCCTAAATCTCGAACCATGTGTGGGTTTCCTTTCATGGAAAAAAAAAAAAAACTAGCAGAAGTACTAAGTGTTGACAAAGCATTTTTATTATTTAAATATGAATAAACATTATACTAGTTATAAAACCTTATGCTTACTATATTTCTGTATGAAACCTAAATGCTTACAAGTAAATCATAAGCAAAACCCACAAAAGCAGTAAAGTCCAGGTTAACAGTGATTTGCTGCTCCACGTGGGCCCAGGGGTGGTGCTGACGGCTGCGACCAGGCCGGTTTCATTCCCCCTCCCCGAGGGCTGTGCCCCTCGATGGCCCTGCTCTCGCCACTTAGTTACGTGTCAGATACACCTGCTTTTCTTGTTAGCACGTGACAATTAAAGCTATACACTTTTGAACATTCTTTGTCACAGTTTCATGGTGTTAAAGTCTCTAATTGGCACGTGGTGTAGGCCTAACGACATGAAAACACCTGGTTTGTAACCGATCGCTGCAAAAGAGAAGTTTTACCTTTTAACCAACAAAATCAGAATGAGCCACTGACAGGTACAGGACAGTTTGAATGAACGTTGTCATCTTAGCGTTAGGACACGCCAGCCTGGGTAGCCAGCCACGTTAGTGAACCCACTAAGATAAGTACTTTGCCATCCAATACTCCTGTAGGTGACGGAGGCCAAATGTCACCACAAAACAAAGTAGAGCATTCAAATCGTATGTCAGCACTTACTTGCTAAATGTCCATCAGATAATTCTGAACATACCGTGTTCATTGTTTTTTAATTATCAAGTTAAAAAGTTTCTTTGATGCCCACGGCATGGCTCAGTTGACGTAGGATCCAGGAGGTCACGGTTCGATTCCCGGTCAGGGCCCATGCCCAGGTTTCGGGCTCGATCCCCAGCAGGGGGCGTGCAGGAGGCAGCCGACCAGTGACTCTCTCATCATTGATGTTTCTCTCTCTCTCTCTCTCCCTCTCCCTTCCTCTCTCTGAAATCAATAAAGATTTTTTTTTTTTTTTTTAAAGAAGTTTCTTTGAAGAACTCGTAGTCTCTCAAGAATACATCTGCAGACCTTCAGAGGTCTGACGCACCCAGTTCGAGAAACACTAATGTACTGGGGAAAAGACTAAACCTCGAAGATCTGGGTAGAAGCTACTGAATTGTTGGGCAAACGTAGGCAAGTCACTTAACCTCTCTGGGCATCACATTGCTATTTGTGGCCAAGTTCACCACCACATTCGCTGGACTTAAGAGCCATGCTCTTCCTTCCTCGGTCCAAAGGCTTGGACTTCGGCTCCCAGAATTCTTTGTTGGGCGTGTATTTCAGTCTCTAGCCTCAGAAAATAGGGTCCTGATAAGAAAGTGTGGCGTGATGGTGGGCTGCCCAGCGGGGTCCCATCGTTCCCGGAGATGCTGCCGGTTATAAAGCCCTGGCTCTTTTTCGTTGTAGATTCCGACTCCCAGCATAGCCACGAAGTGATGCCTCTCCTCTACCCTCTCTTTGTCTACCTCCATCTCAACCTGGTCCAGAGCAGTCCCAAGAGCACCGTGGAGAGTTTTTACAGTCGCTTCCATGGAATGTTTCTGCAAAACGCCAGCCAGAAGGATGTCATCGAGCAGCTACAGACCACTCAGACCATCCAGGACATCCTGTCCAACTTCAAGCTTCGAGCATTCCTAGACAACAAGTACGTGGTCCGTCTCCAGGAAGACAGCTACAACTACCTTATCCGCTACCTCCAGAGTGACAACAACACCGCCCTGTGCAGAGTCCTCACCCTGCACATCCACCTTGAAGTGCAGCCCGCCAAGAGAACGGACTACCAGCTCTACGCCAGCGGCAGCTCCTCGCGCAGCGAGGGCCACGGCCTAGAGCCGCCGGACGTGCCGGCGCCCATCCTGCAGAACGAGGCCGCGCTGGAGGTCCTGCAGGAGAGCATTAAGCGCGTCAAGGACGGCCCCCCCTCCCTCACCACCATCTGCTTCTATGCCTTCTACAACACGGAGCAGCTGCTGAACACCGCGGAAATCTCCCCAGACAGCAAGCTGCTGGCTGCCGGGTTTGACAACTCCTGTATAAAACTGTGGAGTTTACGATCCAAGAAGTTAAGAGCGGAACGCCATCAAGTGGACGTGTCCCGCATCCACCTGGCTTGTGATATCCTGGAGGAGGAGGTATGAGTATCGTTTTTTCTTCCCTACACCTGCCTGTGTGATGTGCTTAGAATGTTCTTTCCAGACGTGACCGATCTTGCGGAGAATGGATTCATTTTCCTCATCAGGTAGCAAAGCCAGACTAATGCCGGGTAACCCGTAGCCGTTGAATCCCGCTCGTGCCTCACCAGGTAGCAAAGCCAGACTAATGCAGGGTAACCTGTAGCCATTGAATCCTGCTCGTGCCTCACCTCGGAAAAGATGAAAACCTTTTAGCAGCATTAACTGAACGTTACTAATGAACGGTCAGGATTCCTTACTGTCTGGAATGTGGATAACGCTGCTGAGCGTAATTAAAGGCCTTGAGCTGATAGTGAGACTTACAGTAAGCACCTGGGAGCGTGCATTTGTGCGAATGTAAACAATTACGAGTAAGATTTCTGGGTCAAGGGGGGGTCTGCATTTTATTTATTTTTACTTTTTGGTTAATCCTTACCCAGGGATATTTTTTCCCCATTGATTTTTAGAGAGAGTGGAAGGGAGGGAGGGGGCGAGAGAGAGAGAGAAAAACATAGATGGGAGAGAGACACATGGATTGGTTGCCTCCCACACGAACCCCAGGGCCGGGGATCGAACCTACAACCCAGGCATGTGCCCTGACTGGGAATCAAACCACCCTTTCGGTGTACGGGACGGCACCCAGCCACCTGAGCCACACCGGCCAGGGTGGAAGCTAATGTCTTTAATATGTGAGCAACGTGGCAAAACCACAGACACCGAATCAAGGACTTGGTCTTCTTTTCAGTTATTTGTACACGACGGCCCTCCTCACTGCCAGCCTCCCACCCCCTCACCTAACAATACGTCGCCTGTATTTAAAGCCTCTTCGTTCTCTCCCCAATCTGGTCATCTTTAAGTTTCAAAAGTAAAGAATTCAGTGTTGCGGATAATACTCAGTTCTGTAATTCATACAAAAAACTGTCGTTTAGATCTGTGTTGACTGGTGGGATTATAACGCAAGCCATATACGCAGTTATAATTTTCCCAGCAGCCACATTGAAAAGGTAAAAAGAAATAGTCAAAATTAATTCTAATAATGTATTTTGTTTGTATGGCAAAGATGTTATCACTTAACATGTACACAATATAAAACATTGCTGATGAAACCTGGTACTTTCTCCTTTCTGCCCCAGCCTTGGAAATCTGGTGTTTACACTTAGCGCGTGTGCACTGACACTGACCGAGGCCCCGCGCCTGGTCGCTCGGGCTGCTCATGTCCCGTGTAGACGGCAGCGCCTCACGGCTTCCAACCCAGCCACGTTCAGTTCCTTTCGTTCCGCTGGGAGCTACTTGGAGAACAGCCCAAGGCTAAATTCCAGACCCCCCCAAAGTACTGCCGATCTGGGGGAGACCCGAGCGTGAGCCGCGGCTCTGGGGACGCCCCGTCCGGGGTAAACGTCCATAACGCGTCTGAGATTTCAGGGAGCCCGTGGTTGACCCAGGGCCAGCAAGCCACAGTGCAGGAGCTCATCAGACAGTATTTAAAGATCTGCGTATACTCCCTATTTCTAGTCTTTTTAAATTTTTATTTTCTGCGTGTTTTATAATGTACATTTTATAGTTTATTATTACATGAATATACTTGACATATTAAAAATTCCTCTTTGGGACGCATGCCCATTTCCTGGGAGGGTCAGTCAGTGGTAGGGGGTGTGGGGTGTAGTCCTGGATGAGAGGAAGGAGAGGGAATCTGGGGCCGGGCCCCCGCATCAGCTGCTCGTTCAGGGTTCCATCTCGTCTGCTGAGGCCCTGGTGCGACGGGGTTGAGCTGCAGAGGAAACGTGGCTGGTGGTTTTACTCTGTGGTCCTGGCAAAGAGCAGAGAGTGATGGCAGGAACGTTCTGGTTTCCCCGCCTCCTGGTCCATAGCATCAACCAGGCCCCTTTCCACAGGCTGGAGACGTCAGTCGTCAAGACCCCTGGGAGTGCCAGCCTGGCTCCTGGGGCACTCTGCCCGCCTCAGACGTCAGGTCCCCACATGGGGGCCGCGAGGATCACTCCCATCCCCTCCTGCTCCAAAGGAAGGCGGTTAAGCCTCAGAGAGCAATGTGTCCTTCACGCCCCCCCTACGTTTCAGAGGATCTTGGTTAATCTGTCCGGGTCATCTCTGCTCCCACGGTTCTTACATAAACTTTCTGGCACAGAGCAGTGAGTCATTCTTGAAATTTTAAAGTGTTGTTGTAACCTCTTTGGAAAGGAAAATACTAATATTCTGGGTAACACTCAGTAGAACCTTAAGCTCCCAAGTGCTGATGTATTTTTAATGTCGGGTGTCTGAAATAGCGATTTTGAATATTCATGGACATCCATGTTTATTTTCTCTTAACTCTCTCCAGAGTATGTACATATTGGAGGCGTGTGTTTTATTTGAATTTAGTGGTTTTTAAGGAGAAGTTAAAAGGATGCCCCTTTCCTGTACAAGAACCTAAAGCTCACAGAGATAGTAATTCCTACACCAGCGAAGGCAGCTGGTTTAAGAGCCTTCATCTCACTGCTCGCTCTGCTGGTGTTGACGATGACCCACTTTAATTGACGAAGTCCAGGGTGGAGACGGCTGTCGGTTAAGGAGCTCGCCTGGGACAGAAGGAAGGAGAAAGGGGTTCTGAACCCAGATAGTGTACCTGCGGGGAGAGGGTGGGGAGGGGCACTTTCTCCCCGGCGCCGTGGGCAGCGAGCTGTCTGCTGTCCTGCCCCACCCAGGAATTAGTCCCAAGACGCACAGGAGTCACTTGGCTTTAAAGCAGGTTTGAATCCAGGCCTCGTTTTGTTACTTTGGAAAAATGTCTGAGACCCTCCAGAAAGTCACCGTTTTAAAACCGCACCTTTCTTTCTTTGTGGACACCAGCAGTTTATGCCTGGTCATGGGGCGCGTGTCATCGATTGACAACTGCGCCTTTCTGACTTGCTGTCCTGACGGGTCCGGGCTTTCTTTTGGCTCCGCTCCTGCAGTGGGTCTGTGTTAACCGTGAGCTGGGCCCGCGCCTGCCTCCAGCACTGACCCAGGCGTGGGAGCAGCGAGCCTGTCAGGATTCCTCTCAGTCCACTGGAAACAGAGAGCAATGTGGCTTATAAAGCGGCTAAACCTGACATGCCCATGGAATAAAAGAACTGGGAACTGAACGTAAATTCTAAAGTAAATCTTTTCAAATGCCGGATATCAGAATTAACGATGGGAGTCCTCACAGGCTGCCTTTTAACTGGCTATTGAAATCTGTTATCCTCAACCCAAGAGTACGATGCACAGCCATTGCTCGATAAGTATTAGCCTTGCATTTCTGTATCTTTGGATTGCATATAGCCTTGGCTGCACAGTGAATTTAAGGAACGCAGTTTATAAGCTGTACGGGGCTTTCCGCTCAGTTACGCCGTTATGAGCTGTTTTCCTGGGGTCGCCCTGAAGAGCAAGCCCACTGTCCTTTGCCGGGTAGATGCCCCATCCCCCGGAGATTTTGTTTTCCATGCAGACCCCTAACCGTTTCTCTTCTGTGTCCCCTTTGCACCACTCCTGACGTCCCCAGGATGATGAGGATGACACTGCGGGCGCAGAGATGAAGACCCTGCGGGGACACTGTGGACCAGTGTACAGCACGAGGTTCCTCGCAGACAGCTCAGGGCTGCTCTCCTGTTCCGAAGACATGTCCATCAGGTACTGGGACCTCGGGAGCTTCACCAACACTGTGTTGTACCAAGGACACGCCTACCCCGTGTGGGACCTGGACATCAGCCCCTATAGCCTGTACTTCGCCAGCGGGTCCCATGACCGCACCGCAAGGCTGTGGTCCTTCGATCGGACGTACCCGCTGAGAATATATGCAGGGCACCTGGCCGATGTGGACTGTGTCAAGTTCCACCCTAATTCAAACTACTTAGCCACAGGCTCGACCGACAAGACCGTCCGGCTGTGGAGCGCTCAGCAGGGGAACTCGGTGAGGCTCTTCACGGGCCACCGCGGCCCGGTGCTCTCGCTCGCCTTTTCCCCCAACGGTAAGTACTTGGCGTCGGCTGGCGAGGACCAGCGGTTGAAGCTATGGGACTTGGCCTCCGGGACCCTTTACAAAGAACTGCGAGGCCACACGGACAACATCACCAGCCTCACCTTCAGCCCGGACAGCGGCCTGATCGCCTCCGCGTCCATGGACAACTCCGTGCGGGTCTGGGACATCAGGAACAGCTACTGCAGCGCAGCAGCCGACGGCTCCTCCGGCGAGCTCGTGGGCGTGTACACCGGGCAGATGAGCAACGTCCTGAGCGTGCAGTTCATGGCCTGCAACCTTCTTCTAGTGACTGGAATCACGCAGGAAAATCAGGAACATTGATTTTTTCTTTTTTTTTTTTTTTTTT